ACTCAATCCCTCTATCAATGAAAGCTAACGCATCATACGCCTTCTTAACAACTCTATCCACCTGGGTGGTAGCTTTCAGGGAACTGTGGACATGAACCCCAAGATCCCTCTGCTCCTCCACACTGCCAAGAATCTTTCCGTTGACCCTTTATTCTGCTTTCAAGTTTGTCCTTCCAAAATGAATCACCTCACACTTTTCAGGGTTAAATGCCATCTGCCACTTCTCAGCCCAGTTCTGCATCCTATCAATGTCCCTTTGTAACCTAGACTACCAAGCAGTTTCAAAAATCCAGTCTGGTATTGCAGGAGGCTCCGTGCTTGCTGATCAATATTCCATTTTGGAAATTGGTGAGGGTGACTGTTCTTCGGATGACTGCAGCTGTACAAGGAAGAAAAGAAGAATGGAATAGCAGTAGTTATAGGGGATCCAACAGTTAGAGGCTCAGGCAGGTGTTTTCTGTGGCATTAAATGTGAATGCAAGTTGGTGTGTTGTTTCCCTGATGCCAGAGTCAAGATGTCACAGTGCAGCTTCAGGGCATCGTTCTGGGGGAGGGGATTTAGACAAAAGACATCACCCACTTTGGTACCAATGACATAAGTTGGAAGAGAAATGAGATCCTGAAGGCAGATTTCAGGGAATTAGGAAAGAAATTAAGACCTTAAGAGCAGTAATCTCAAGATTACTCCCAATGCCGCATGAAAGTGAGCAGAAGAACAGGAGTATTGAGTGATTGAATTGTGGCTAGAGATCTGGTGTAGGAGGGAGGGTTTTCTGAGGATTTGAGACTGGTTCTGGGGCAGGTGGGACCAGTACAAGCTCCCAAATATGAGCCTACAACCCAATGGTCTCAATGTGGACTTTATTAGCTTCAAAATCTCCCCACCCCCGATCTCATCCCATGACCAACCCTCCCTCTCATCCCCGCCTCCTTGACCTGTCCGTTGTCTTTCCCACCTATCCGCTCCTCCCACCTCACTGACCAACCCCCACCATTGCCTACCGGCACTCACCATCGCCACCCCACCTACCTTCCGCAGCCCCACCCCTCCTCTCCCTATTTATTTCAGAACCCCCTACCCTTCCCCCGTTTCTGAAGAAGGGTCCCGATATGGTACGTCAGCTTTCCTGTTCCTCTGATGCTGCCTGGCCTGCTGCGTTCCTCCAGCACCACACCGGGTTATCTCTGACTCCAGCGTCGGCAGTTCTTACTATCTCTGAAAGGAGGTAGAGTTGTACTGCTAATAAGGAATGGGATTAGTAAGGGAGAATTTTAGGTTGGAAGAACAACTTATGGAATCTGAGTAGAACTGAGAAACAGAAAGGGACAGTAGTTGGAGTTCTAGGCCATCAAATAGTAGTGGTAGTGTGGGACATGCTTCTCTCATCTTCTGATTAACAACATGTAGCGTGGGCAACATTGTTATCATGAGTGACTTCAGTCTCCGTATAGACTGGAAAAACCAATTGAGATCTAAAGCTGTGGAAGACAAGTTTCTGGAAGGTATTAGGTATGGTTTTCTAGAGCAATATGTTGAGGAGGACATGCTGTTTTAGCTATCAGATTATGCAATGAGGAAGTGCTCTCTATGCCTTCTGAGGTCCAGAGTTGCAGGTATGTGCATCTCTGCAGCAGAGGGTACCAGAACCTGGCTCTGCTTGGCCGTCATTAACCTTTCCAGGGAGCAGACAATCACATGAATTGTTGCACTACTGCAGGTTCTGGGCAATGAGAGTCATTGCATTCCACATACCTTGCTGCTGTTCCTGTTCCTTCCTGTGCATTCTGAAAAAATACTGATTGCCAACACCACAGGCTACTCTCCTGCCTGGGGCTGAGCAGATGCCTGGTCTCTGGTAGTTCTCCAAGTGCCAATGGCATGAGGCATTTCTTCCTCAACCAGCTTCTGGAGCTGTCATAGTGTGGTGCTCACCAGACTATGGTTCCACACTATCTAATGCTCATGTTCTCACTGAAGTGTTAGTATCAGTGCTACTGCTGGAGAGAGGCACATTCCTGCAGTCAATTGCTTCAAGCATTGGACCTTAAGACTGAAGGTATAGAGACAGAGGAATAGGGAAACCAGGTGAGTCCTCCAGGTGTCCCTTCCTTACGAGGAGACAGGACAGTGCCATGAGGCACTCACCTGTAGGTGGAATTACGCAATGGCTCCTCAGATATCTCCATTCTTGAAAATTCACAGGAGATGGGCCCTCCACCTTTGACTTTGCCTGTCCTTTCCAACTCTTGGAAATCGGAGCCAGGAGGCCAGATGCTTATTATGTTTGGGGTATCCAGACACAAATACCTTTTGCGGTTGCCTGTCCAAACTTCCAGGGCTAATTGCTGAACATGCTCCCTTCACCCCAGCTGTGGAAACAGGGATTACACTGAGATATAGTCAGAGGGAGAGAGAGAGGAAGAAGGAAACTTGTTGAGGACACTTTGGCAGCACGAATAATATAGCACTATACATCAGTTCTCACATTTGTATAAATGCTGTTGTTTGCCTCTACATCTATTTGTTTGAGTGCCTGGGGAATGGGCAGGAGACTGCCTTGCTGATGCTTCCTCTGAGGCCTCGGTACAATTCAATGAAGCAACCTCTGATGGAGCCACCTGTTTCTCTGTGAGGTGGTGGATGTCTTGATGGTACCTGCAAGGCGAGACAGAATGCATCATGGCCAATGGTTAGAAGTGGTATGTAATGAATGAGACTGACTGCGGAATTACTGGGAAGGATGTCGTGGAATGAAGAATGCCACTTACTTGATTGTTGGGAAATAGATGTCTCTGCAGCCCTGCAGGAGTTATTCTGGTCTTCACTAGCAAGGATCAGGGTTCTCTTTTCATAGGAGCTGAGGTATCAAATGTTTGGCACTTCTCCACTCGTCTTTTGGAGGATATCTGGTGAGTGACGACTTGTTCCCAGAATGGTGCGCAGTAAAATGGAGATAGAATTGGTCAGATAGAGGATTGCCATGGGACATTAATGAGGTGTGTTTGGTAAGACAAGGAGAGTAATCTCACTGGGCTTTGTGACAAGGATCTCTCCAAAAACTTGATGCAGCTCGCATTTAGCCAAAAAAACAAAGGATTCAGTCCAAAGACTCCGTGAAAGAAGTCCAACTGTGACTTACTAAGGACGTTAAAGGGCATTTGCAATATTTTTTCTTATACAAATATTTTCTGTCTGTTGTCATAGTAGAAGATACAAATTACATAGTAGAGATAAAGGATATCCCAAAGGTTAATAATAGTGAGGAAATTAAGGTTGTTCCTATCTGCAGGAAAGAAGCTTTAAAAGGACTAAAATCCAACAAATTCCCAGAACCTGCTGGACTACATCATACCGTTTTAAAAGAGATAGCTGCTGAGGTAGTCAATATCCTGGCTGTGATTTTTCAAAATTCAGTAGATTCTGGAAGATTTCTGGTAGGTTCTAGATTGAAGTTAGCAAATTTACCACAGCGTCGAAGAAAAGGGATAGGAAGGCTACGTAGAACTACAAACCAGTTATCCTGTCGTCAGTCATTAGCAAAGTGCTGGAATCAATGATTAGAATGTCTCAACGATGCACTTAGAAAACCATTGTGTATTTAGAACAAGCCAACATAGTTTTATTTGAAGAAATGTCTTTTTCAACAAATTTATTAGTTTTTTGAAGATGTAATTTGTAGAATACAGTGGAACCAACAGAAGTAGTGTGCTTGGATTTCCAATGCGATAAATTATCACATCAATTATTCCCACCCTTGTGTCGGCTCTTCTCCTGCTGAAACCCTTACCTTTATTTCCTACACACTTCATTATGCTCATGCCAATTGTTGGCCTTCCACATTTTATCTTGAAGTCATCCATAACTCTGCAATCCAATATCCTTATTCATTTATCCATACATCTGAACTTGCTGATCCATACTAGCTCTCAGTTAAATGACGTCCCAGTTTTTAAATTCTGGTCTGTATTGATTGGCACAAGGGCCAGGTGGATCTTATTAACTGAGATCCTTGATTGGGGTTGTTAACCTGGGCCAATCAGGCAGCCCTGGCTGACACATATAAACAGGAGATTCAGACGGTCTCCTCGTTGTAGGGTCTGGCTTATAGCTGGCTGGTCAGACCCTATGTACTGTGCACATGTAAATAAAGGGGTGACTTGGTGATGGGATACCGAGCTCTGTGTAGTTATTTCATAATCCTTTGTTTTCAAATCTCTCTTCATGTTAACCCTGTCTGTCTCTGTAGTCTCCTCCAGCCAGACAATCCCCTGAGATATGTATGCTCCTCTAATTTAATGCCTTTAAGCATTCCAAACTTTATCACTCTGCTTCAGTTAATGAGGACCGATGCCTTTCAATTCCCTCTCTCGGCCTCTCTATCTTGCTTTCATTCTTTAACACGCTACTAAAACTCTACCTTTTTTTTGCTTTTCATCATGTCCTATAACAGCTTCTTTTGTTTTATAATACCTGTAAAGTGCCTGGGATGTTTTATTATGTTCAAGATGCTACATAAATACAAGTTGTTACTGTTGTTACAGCTTTAGGTTTACTGATCCTTCAAAATAATTATTGTTTGTTTATTTTCTAAGATTCCCTAATTTGTTAGTTAATTTAACAGAAGTTAAAACAAAGAACTATGGATGCTGGAGATCTGGAACAAATAAAAACAGGAGTTGCTGGAGAAACTCAGCATCTGTGGAGAGAAAACAGAATTAACAATTCAAGTTCAGTTTCCACTTTTTATTAGCTGCTTCTGATTCTGAAAAAGGATCAACGGATTCAACATTAATTCTGTTTTCTCTCCACAGATGGACTTGCTGAGTTTCTCCAGCAATTTCTACATGCGTTTTTTAATAGAAGTTGTTTTACTGTTGACTTGTCTCTACATTATATATATTTTGCAATTTTTAAAATTTGGAATCACTCTTATGCTTGAAACGAAGGTGAAATGATAGCTGTGGTGAAACTGGACTTATCTCACTCTGTTTTTATCCAGGAAATCCATGGCTTACAGGGGTCGGGAACTGTTGACTAAACTGAAAGCTGCAGGTGTTGGGGATAGGCCAGTGGTGTGGGTAGCACATAGTATGGGAGGTAAGAACTTTACAAAAACAGACAGTTTCCTTTCTTCCTACTCTATGCCATCTTGAGAAATATTTCTATACCTGTATGAGGCTCCGACTTAATCACATCTGAAGTAATAAATCACAAAAGAAGGTCATTTGGCACATCATACTGTTCTTTGTTGGATCTTATCAATTAATCCCTTTTCCTTCCTCTTTCCCCTTGGCCCTGTTTAGTTTTTTTCTCCATTTAATTACTTACAAAATTCTCTTCTGAACATCATTCTTGAACATGCTTCCACCACATCGTCAGGCTGTGCAGTGCAGATCACAGCCTCTTCCTGTGTTACTTCTCTACCACCGCTGAATCCCAGCAGTTTGGAAACAGGCCCTTCAGCCCATCAAGTCCGCATTGAGTCTCTGAAGAACATCCCTCCTGGACTCACCCCCCTACCCTATCCCTGTATTTCCCGTGGCTAATCTGCCTAACCCACACACCCCTGGACACTATGGGCAATTTAGCATGGCCAGTCCACCTAACCTGCACTACTTGGACTGTGGGAAGAAACCGAAGCATCCAGTGGAAACCCACGCAGACATGGGGAGGATGTGCAAACTCCACAAAGACCGTTGCTGGAGGCTGGAATTGAACCTGGTTCTCCGGTGCTGTGAGGCAGCAGTGCTAACCACTGATCCACTGTGACGTCTTCAGGTTCCTACTTCAGATTCTTTTGCCCAGCATCTGAAATCAATGTCTTCAGTTACTAACTATTTTCTGTCACTGAAGACAGTTTTAAGACATTAAATAAAGAAAAACTGTTCTTGATTTTGAACACCTTTTCAAACTTCCCCTTAATCCTTCTGCTCGAAAGAAAACAACCACAAATTCTCCAGTACTACCACATGATATGGGAACAGGAGTCGACCGTTTATTCCCTCAAGCCATTTCTAACATCACTGAGATTATGGCTGATTTATACTCTAACTTGATATGCTGTCTTTATCCCATATCCTTTAAAGCTTTTAGTTAACAGAAATCAATCAATCTCAAATTTAAAATGAACAATTGAACATCTCTCACTATTTTCAGAAGAGAATTTTAAACTTCTACCATAGTTTGTAAGTCAAGGTAAGTGTTTTCTAACTTCATTCCTGAAAGGTCTAACTAATTTTTTAACCATGTCATCTCACACCGTATATTCTCCAGTCAGTGGAAATAATTTCTCCCTTTCTCTTCTTATGGTCTTGCAGACTTCAATCATATCTCCATTAACCTGCTAAATACCTCGGTGGCATAATTTAATTTACTGCATAATTTAACCCTTTCAGTCCAGGTACTATTCCAGTAAATTTGAGCTCCAAGGCCAATATATCCTTTCTAAGGTGTGATATCCAGATCTGTTTGCTGTGGCTTAAGTAGAGTTTTGCATAGCTGCAGCATAAGTTCGACCATCTTGTATGCTATTCCTGTAGATATAAGGGCCAGCATTCCATCATCCTGTTAGATTATTTGTGTACCCGGTAGTGACATTTTAGTAATCTGTGTACCAGAACCCTACAAATTTCTGAACCACCACGTTTTCCAGCTTTTTATCATTTAGGAAGTATTCTGTTATCTTTCTTTCATTCAAACTAAATCGTGTCACATTTAATATATTAAGATCCATAATCTATTTGTCTCAATTATTCTGTTAAAACCTATGTAATTTTACACTTTAATCTACTGTCCTTTCCGAACTAACTATTCAGTGTCAATGGCAAACTTGGGTATATGGCACCCTATCCTAAGAAATTGTTAAATATATGTTAAGGCGCCTTCACAGATCTTTCCTGAATAATACTATCTGTTCATTATCCATATTCTCTGTCTCTTGATGCACATCTAGTTTTGTAACCAGGTCAATAATTTGTCATCAATTACATGAGTTTCTACTTCAGGCCAGCAGTTTTTGATGAGGGACCTGATCAAATGCCTTCCTAGGAGTCCATCTAAATAAGATCCATAGATATTCCTCCACTGTCTACTTCAGTCACCTCTTCTTCTAAACAAAAATGCAATCATGTTCATCGGGCATGGCCTACCCTTTACAAATCCATGCTCACTCTCTTGGATTAACTGAAAAATTTGAAATTGTTCAGTTGCTTACTCTCTTGGATTCTTCAGCCAGAGAGTGGTGAATCTATGGAATTCACTGCCACAGAAGGCTGTGGAGGCCAGGTCATTGAATACATTTAAGACTGAGATAGATAGGTTCTTGATTATCTAGGGGATCAAGGGTTACGGGGAGAAAGCGGGAGAATGAGGTTGAGGAACTTATCAGCCATGATTGAATGGCGGAGCAGACTCGATGAGCCGAATGGCCTAATTTCTGCTCCTATGTCTTATGATCTTATGGATTAGCTGAAAATTTTGAAGCTGTTCAGTACAGTCTGTTTAATTATAGACTTGTGTAATTTCTTAACGAGATGTTAAGCTGCCTGGTCGACAAGTCCCTGGTCATCTTTCTCCACAGTTTTCAAATCTGAAGAGAACTTTGGAAGATCACATTCAATTGAAGTGTTCTTTTATCTTTATTTTTCTCATTATTGTTTCTTGGCTGATATTAACTTTGATGGGTCCCTCTCCCTGATTTAAGATTAGTTTTCTGTCCTCTACTGATTACTCAAATGATGGAATTTTCCCATTTTTATCAGTTTGAGAAAGCATGTTCTGTGTTGACTAACATGCCACCCTCACTAATCACGGCAGCACAGTGGTTAGCACTGTTGCCTAACAGTGCTGGGTTTGATTCCAGCCTTAGTTGACTGTATGGAGTTTGCACGTTCTTCATCTCTGTGCAAGTTTCCAATCGATGCTCCGTTTTCCTCCCACAATCTAAAGGTGTACAGGTTAGCCATGGTAAATTGCCCTATAATGTGCAGGTTTGTTAGATTAGCCATGGTAAATTCAGGATTATGGGAATAGGTTGGGGGCTGGGTCTGGATGGGATGACCTTTTGGACGGTCGGTGCAGACTCGATAGGCCAAATAGCCTCTTTCTGTACCGCGGGGAATACTTTGATTCTATGATTGCCCACCAATCAGCATATTAAGAGCTGATGGATTTGTTAAAACAGCTGAGAGTTTTTGGATTGTAAAGTCTGCTAGTTGGGGATCCAGTGATGAGAAAATAAGTCTCGTGGAAGAGGAGGGTGGTGTCATGTGGGTTGGGGGCAAGGACAGGGCCTTGGCTCTCAACAGCAAACTCTTGCTCCTCACCATATTTCTTGCCCACTGGAGAGGTAGATGTTCAGGGAGGTGATCGGCAAGTTGAAACCTTTAAGTAGCCATTATATGATTAAATTATCGTTGATGAGTCAAGAAAGTCCTCAATGTATCTTTTCACCCAGCATTTAATTGTTGGAATAACAAGAAGTTTTCTCCAGGTCCAACTTGTCATGTTATTACCCCTTCTGATCACCTCTTCTGTCACTTCCAGGGAGGTGAAAATCAGTGTTTATTCAGATAAACAGCTTTAATTCTGTCTGTTTTTGTCATTTTCCCCTACTCTGATGTTGTTTCCTGATGCACACTTTTAATTTTTTCTTGTCTCTTCCTATCATATTTTTGGTTATCACTACCCGCATCACTACCCTGCATTATTGCTTTATCTTTCCAAATCTTCCTGCATATGAATAGTCCCGATTGCCCAGTATTTGAAGTCGTCTCTACAGGCTTGGTTATATGATAGACCAGGACACTAGAACCAGTGTGATTCATTGAAGGTTGTGCCAACGGTACAGCTCCCTCTTTCCCCAGTATTGGTACCAATGCCCTATCAATTGAAAACCATTCCTCCCCCACCAATCTTTGAGCCATGTAGTCAACAGTTTAATCTTATTTACCTGATGAGGCTAAATTGCTTGTGGCTAAGATAGTAATCCAGTAATAATGGTAATAATACCTTTGTGGCTCTGCTTTTTTAAATTTGTCTCTAGCTGCTCATTCAGCCACAGCAGAATTCTCTCTTAATTACACCTGCACCAGTGGTACCCATGGGGTCCTCAAACCTTAATCCTTCCTCTCCCAATCAAAGTTTTTCTCCATTCTGAAGAAATCATAGTATCCCTACAGTGTGGAAGCAGGCCAGTGAGCAATTTGAGTCCACAACAACCCTCTGAAGAGCATCCCACCCAGTTCCATTCCCCTACCCAGTCCCTGTAACCCTGCATTTGCTATGGTTAATCTACTTAGCCTGCATATCCCTGGATACAATAGTCAACTTAAAATGGCCAATCCACCTAGCCTGCACATCTTTGAACTGTGGGAGGAGCACCCAGAGGAAACCCACGCAGATATAGGGAGAACATGCAAACTCCACACAGAGAGTTGCCCAAGTTTGGAGTTGAATCCTGGTCACTGGCGCAGTGAGGTAGCAGTGCTAAACACTGTGCCACCGTGCTGCCCTTAACCCTGTCACTGTGCAGGCAACACAGCCTTGGAATTCAGAACTATGGCAGAGAACAATATTTATTCCCTATGAATACTGACTGCCCATCCCCTACTTCAATTACATTACTTTTTATTCCTGTTAATGAATCATTCTTGCACCATGGTCAATTGGCTTATCCACCCAGCAGTCCCTACTCTCGTCCACTCAAGTTTTAAGAACCTCAAACATGTTAGACAATTGCAAGAAATGAGTCTCCTCCATTGCTACGTTTTGGAACCCGAAACATCCTCCAATCCAACATTTCCTCTAAGCTGCGCAGCCACTCCACTGTACTGCACATGGAGATCAGTATGCTGATGCAGATCACAGCATTGACCTCCAGTTCCAGAAGTCATCGTCACACACAGACCTTACACAGAAGGAAACAAAATCGGAGGGAATTTTGATCTTGTCCCTGACTATAGGCCAAATTTGAAGTACCTAGTTTAAGGGGAGTGACTGCTCCTGGAATAACGTGAGCAGGTGACTTTCCCTCTCCCTGATGAATTACAGTGGGCAAAGCTCAGACTGCAGCTCCTCAACTGATGTTCCTTGAGATCATCATGGAATCATAGAGTCCCTTCGGCCCAACAAGTCAACACCAACTCTCAGAGCATCCCACCCAGACCCATCCTCTATAACCCACCTAATCTACACATCCCTGAACACTATGGGAAATTTAACGTCGCCAATCCACCAAGCCTGCCCATTTTTTGGACTGTGGGAGGAAACCCACACAGATACGGGGAGAATGTGCAAAGTCCACACAAACAGTCACCCAAGGGTAGAATCGAGCCCAGGTCCCTGGCGCTGTGAGGCAGCAGTGCTAACCACTGAGCCACCGTGCCGCCGATGCAATTCTTTTTTTAAACCTATTTTTTTCTAATCAACCAGTTCAGAGATGTCATTACACACCTCTAGAGCAGGTGGGACTTGAACCCAGGCCTCTCAGTCTGTGCTTAGGGACTCTTAACTTTGCACCACAAGAAACCCTTAATGTTTCTGCCTGGTTTGAAACCAGGGACCTTTTGCATGTAAAGCAAACGTAATAACCACTACACCACATAAAAGGTCTGCAGTTCTTTATTATAGATGTGATTGCATTGATTACATTTAATGACAACTTATTATATGTATTTGGAGCAATAAAATCTTAAAAACATGCCAATAATCTGTGTGTTCATCTAATTAAAACCTTGCTCACCAGTTTCTGAAGGCTGAAAAAGAGACCTGAAAAGCAGCACGTCCTTCTTTCTCTGAACCAAATTCATAGCTGCAGCAAGTTCTCAAGTTATTTGTATCTCACAACGCTTTGTTTACAACAACAGGAAAGGGCTTTTGCAGCACAATGGTCTTGTCTCTACTTCTGGGATGGCTAGGGTTCAAGTCCCATCTACTCCAGTGATGTGTCATAATATATTTGAACCATCTGATTAAAAATATCTACAACAGGGATATTATGCAGAACAATGAAACAGTCTAATGAAGTAATTTTACAAAAGCATTTGTTTTCCTGCAGCTAGTAAATTAAGTATCAGATTTTCTGTGTTCCATGAATTGTTTCACATTTATTTTTCTTAGTTAAACCGTAGAATGCACAGAAGGCTGATAAATAAGGTGCATTATGTTTAAAGTAGATAACCTTTGTTTAGAAGCATAACGGTGCATATTAGAATGTTGTAGCGGTGAGGTAACGAGAATTGTTAACCTCAGTTTGGCTGAATGGGTTTGTGGGTCATGGGATTTAGCAGTACAGAGATGGAGGTGCTGAACCTTTACAATGCAGTGCACTTTCAAAAATGAATGACGTCAAGATAAGTGATGTTGACGTTTGACAGCAATTTGTTAGAGGATCTGGAGTGTTGAAGGACAATGGGTACTGGGTTCTAAGTCTAGGGAACATTAAGGATAAAGCTCTGGAGTTTGGAAACACTTGGATCAAAATCCTGGACATTGGATATACTTCTTGATGCCTTAGCCTGTCTCTGCTAAGAAAGTAGAAGTGGCTAAATCTTGATAGTGCTGTGTAATCTGACCTCATTGAGGAAATAATTCTGAACTCTAACAGAAGCATTATCTAATCTGCTCATCCTGCCCTCTAACTTGGTCTCACTTGCAACCAGTTATTGCCCGATCCCAGATTTTCCACCTTAAAGTTTTGTTTGTACCATTGTACAAAACTCACCAATCTGTGATTCCTGTAGACCGTTGAACACGTGCTGATCTACTTGTCCAGATGCTAAACCAGTGCTGACATTTTGCATTTTCAAATCAAACCAAACATCAACCAACCAAACATTTATTTTGGATTACTTTGGAAGCAATTTTACCATCTCAGGATTGATTTTGTTTAGAGGCTCCACCTCAGTGCACAGTCTCATTTGCATGAAGTGAGATTTCACTCAAGGAGGAGCATCTCTGCAAAACTTTATCTGCTTTTAAAACATTGGGTTATTGCAAAATTACTTTGAGACTAAATGCCCACTTCATAATAATACAAGTTAGTGCACCTATTGGTGTAGCCATTACACTTACTTGTGTCAATAGTCTGGGCTGGATACATTTGTGCTTAAGTACCATTGCAATAATATTAATTTCTTTTATCAAGGCAAATGTCTTTGCATTTAGTTAATATGGTCTTTCTATTACAGGCTTGCTAGTCAAAAAGATGCTTTTAGATGCTTCAGAGGATCCTGAAATGAGGTCAGTGGTTCAGAATACTCGAGGGATTGTATTTTACAGTGTACCTCATCGTGGATCACGCTTAGCAGAGTACTCTGTCAGTGCCCGTTTTCTGCTGTTTCCCTCTGTTGAAGTCAAAGAACTTAGTAAGGGTAAGATTGGCTTCTGTGGTCACCTCAGTGTTCTGTTTTCCAGGCGTTCGTACTGTATATCACTTTAAATTTGAATTTTCTATGGAACCATGTAGCTGATTTGTAGTGTATGTAATGTTACTGTTTTCGTTTCTCTCCACACACTCCCAATTCTGTGATGACTTCTCAATGCAACCAATCTGACATCTTTTCCAAGGTTGTTTTCCTAAAAAAAATCTGGCGTACTTCTCCATTTCTGGTCAAAATCTAAATTGTCAGGGTTGAGAGTCAAAGGCCTTTCAGAATTCAGGTTCAGAATATAAGGGAAATGGAGATAAAATTCAGTAATTGAGAGAATAGCAACAGCAATGCACCTGACAGACCTATTGAAAAATAGAGGAGATGAAACCTAGGCAGAATATAGTGGTGCAAATAAGAAGAGACTGCAAAAAGAAGTACCGAAGTTTTGAATCTCTGATCAGTTTTGAAATCCGTATCCAGGACCAAATAAGTGGCGTGTCCACCACTGGTAGCCTGCAGCCTTGCTTAGTGAGATGCCATCCAGATTTTCAATTGCCCTTGATTTTAGAAGTCAAACAGAGACAAAGAGTTTTTGTGGCGCATGGGTGCTCTGATTATAACTGGGGTATCTTTAGCTTTCAAAGTATTCCTCCTGAATTTCAGCATTTAGAATCTCATCCAACTCTAACATCTAAATCAGCTTGTCCCCCAATAGATAGTTTAGTAACTTAGGAAAGTGGATTAACTCTGTCTGTCCTTACTTTCTGTATACAAAATCTGAAAATATATAGACCTCTAGCCAGATTATTTTAAAACACAGAAACAACTGATTGTGAAAGAGGTAGGTTTATTAAGAGGAAAAAGTGGATTCAACAGCCTTGAGGAAATTCAGTTCAAATACGACAGGCATAAAAGGTGAATTTTGGGTGCCCTTGCAAGTGCCACTTAAAAACAAGTGTCTATGGGGAAATACTTGAGTAAGAGTGATCTTGGCAGTGATGGAAAAATCTATCTAACTTCCAGAGTGGAAGAAAACTAATTTTAATAGGCTGAGAAATGATGTAACCAAGGTAAAATGGAACCAAATAAAAGCAAAACGTTGTAGATACTGGAAATCTAAAAATAAAAACACAAAATGCTAGAGAAATCTGGCAGCATCATGTGGAGAGAGAAACAGATTTAACGTTTAAAGTCCAATATGAGTCTAAAATGGAACCATTTGGAACCAAATGGAATCATTAAATGGCAGGGGGGTGGGAACCAAAGCAAAGAAAGGGAACTAGAGAATAGGGCCAGTAAGACTCAGAGGAAGAGCAGGCAGGGTGTGGTTGCAAAACAAAGTGGGTCTGGTGGACTGAAGTGCATCTGTTTCAATGTGAGAAGTGTAACAGGTAAGGCAGATGAACTTGGAGGTTGGATTAGTACTTGGAATTATGATGTTGGTGCTATTACAGAGATGTTTCAGGCGGGGTAGAGGGGGATATAAAAAGGGTGGGGGAGTTGCACAACTTGTTAAGGAGAATATCACAGTTGTACTGCAGGAGGACACCTCGGATGGCTCACACGGCGAGGCAATATGGGTAGAGCTCAGGAACAGGAAGGGTGCAATCACAATGTTTGAGGTTTACTATAGGCCTCCCAACAGCCAGCAGGAGATAGAAGAACAGATATGTAGGCAGATTTTGGCAAGATGTAAAAGTAACAGGGTTGTTGTCGTGGCTGATTTTAATTTCCCATATATTGACTGGGACTCACTTAGTGCTTGAGGCTCGGATGGGACAGAGTTTGTGAGGACCATCCAGGAGGGCTTCTTGAAACAGTGTGTAGATAGCCCAACTAGGAAAGGGACCATACTGGACCTAGTATTGGGGAATAAGCTTGGCCAGGTGGTCATAATTTAGTAAGCTTTAAGGTACTGATGAATAATGTAGTTGTCAGGTGAAGGTGCTAAATTGGGGAAAGCTAATTACAACAATGTTAGGCAGGCACTGAAGAATGTAGATTGGAGGCAGGTGTTTGAGGGCAAATCAACATATGGTATGTGGGAGGCTTTCAAGTGTAAGTTGCTGGGAACTCCGGACCGGCACCTTCCTTTAAGGATGAAGGATAAGTATGGCAAGTTTAGGGAACCTTGGATAACGAGAGGTATTGTGAGCCTAATCAAAAAGAAGAAGGAAACATTTATCAAAGCTAGGAAGCTGGGAACACATGAAGCAAGGGTGGAATACAAGGCAAGTCGAAAGAAACGTAAGCAAGGAGTTAGGAGGGCCAAAAGGGGTCATGAAAAGTTATTGGCCAACAGGATTAAGGAAAATACCAAGGCTTTTCATACATATATAAAGAGCTAGAGGGTAGCCAGGCAGAGGGTTGGCCCACTCAAGGATAGGGAAGGTAACTTATGTGTGGAGCCAGAGGAAATGGGTGAGGTATTAAATGAGTACTTTGCGTCAGTATTCACCATAGAGAACGAATTGGTGGATGATGAGTCTGGGGAAGGATGTGTAGATAGTTTGGGTCATGTTGAGATCAAAAGAAAGGAGCTATTGGGTGTCTTGAAAAACATTAAGGTTGACAAGTCCCCAGCGCCTGATGGGATATACCCAGAATACTGACAGAGGCAAGGGAGGAAATTGCTGGGACCTTGAGGGAACTCTTTGTATCCTCACTTGCTACAGGGGATGTCCCAGAGGATTGGAGAATAGCCAGTGTTGTACCTTTGTTTAAGAAGGGTGACAAGGATAATCCAGCTAATTACAGGCCGGTGAGCCTTAAGTCAGTGGTAGGGAAATTATTGGAGAGGATTCTTTGAGACAGGATTTACTCCCATCTGGAAATCAGTGGGCATATTAGCGAGAGGCAACATGGTTTTGTGAAGGGGAGGTCATGTCTCACTAACTTGGTTGAGTTTTTGAGGAAGTGACGAAGATGATCGATGAGGGTAGGGCAGTGGATGTTGTCTGCATGGACTTCAGTAAGGCCTTTGACAAGGTCCCTCATGGCAGGCTGATACAGAAGGTAAAGTCGCGCGGGGTCAGAGGTGAGCTTGCAAGATGGATAAAAAACTGGCTCGGTCACAGAAGACCGAGGGTAGAAGTGGAAGGGTGCGTTTCTGAATGGAGGGCTGTGACTAATGGCATTCCTCAAGGATCAGTGTTGGGACCTTTGCTGTTTGTAATGTATATTAATGATCTGGAGGAGAATGTAATTGGTCTGATTAGTAAGTTTGCCGATGACCCAAAGGTTGGTGGAATTGCGGATAGCTGATGAGGACCATCAAAGGATAAAGCTGGATATATATTGGTTGGTGATTTGGGCAGAGAGATGGCAGATGGAGTTTAATCCGGAAAAATGTGAAGTAATGCGTTTTGGAGGGTCTAATCCAGATGGAAAATATACAGTAGATGGCAGAACCCTAAAGAGTAATGATAGGCAGAGGAATCTGGATATACAGGTACACGGGTCACTGAAAGTGACCATGGAGAAGGGAATCAATAAGGCATATGGCATGCTTGCCTTCATTGGTCGGGCCGTTGAGTTTAAAAATTGGCAGGTAATGATGTAGCTTTGTAGAACCTTAGTTAGGCCACATTTGGAATATTGTGTTCAATTCTGGTCGTCACACTACCAGAAGGATGTGGTGGCTTTGGAGAGGATACAGAAAAGATTTACCAGGATGTTGCTTGGTATGGAGGGCATTAGCTATGAGGAGAGGTTGGAGAAACTTGGGTTGTTCTCACTGGAACAATGGAGGTTGAGGGGCGACCTGATAGAGGTCGACAAGATTATGAAGGGCATGGACAGACCGGACAGTCAGAAGCTTTTTCCCAGGGTGGATGAGTCAGTTACCAAGGACCATGGGTTGGACCGAGGGGCAAGGTTTAAAAGTGATGTACGAGGCAAGTTTTTTTACACAGAGGGTGGTGGGTGCCTGGAACTCGCTGCCGGGGGAGGTAGTGGAAGCAAATATTACAGTGACTTTTAAAGGATGTCTTGAAAAATACATGAATAGGATGGGAATAGAGGGATACGGTCCCTGGAAGGGTAGGGGGTTTTAGTTGTGACGACAGCCTGTCGGTGCAGGCTTGGGGGGCCGAAGGGCCTGTTCCTGTACTGTAATTTTCTTTGTTCTTTGTTGAAATACTAGCTGAAAAATATTTGAATAGAATAATGCTTCAAGAGATATTTGGGTACAAACTAGATGTATTCCAACCAGAGGAAAAGGTATAGTGGATACCTAAATAGGACTACTTGAATAACAAGGCAAATTGCAGATATGGTAAAACCAGAAGAAGAGGATGCTGGATGCATGCCAGGTGAACTCGTCTTGCAAGAAGTACAACACACACACGAGTTTCAGAGGGAAAGTGAAGAAGAAAATAACATTGGTGAAGAGAGAATATGAGAATGAAAATGGCAATCAATAAAGAAGTAAACTCAAATGACCTTGACAATCATGTAGCTGGTAAAATGTGGAGTGGGACCTAATAGTTGCAAAAGGTGTTGTCGGACAAGGCTCAAATACTTCATCAATACTTTGTATTAGTGTTTACTAAGGAAGAGGAATCTGACAGTAACTTGTTAAGTCAACTAATTAAATTAAGTCAATGAAAATATAGGTGGGGTGAAATTTAAGAGGCAGGAGATCTTGGAAAGGTTGCCTGTTCTTAAGAGTGGATATGTCATCTGGTCCCAAATTGCTGAATGAAGACAGGCTTTGAATAGCAAAGAACTTTCTGTAATTTTCTAGTTTTCCTTGGATAAGGGGAGATGCCAAAGAATTGACAAGTGTCAAATGTGGCACCCTTGTTCAAAAAAGGTGGTAATGACAATCCTAGTAACTAAAAATTAGATGGTTCAACATCTGGTGGATAAGGTTTTTGGACTCATTATTCAGAGAAAAAAATCAACAGGTACTTGGGAAAGTTTCTTTAAAGGATAGCCAACATGGATTCCTCAAAGGCAGACTGTGCTTGACAAAAAAAAGCATGATACAGCTGCAAGGATAGAATGGCAGCATGGGATTGATTGGATTGATCTATAGAGTCAGAGTTTTGACAGCATGGAAAAAGGCCCCTTCAGCTCATTGTGTTCTGCATTGGTCATACACATCCATCCAACCAAATTCCATTTTCCAGCACTCAGCCCATATCTTTGGATACAATAGCATTTCAAATGTGCATCCAAATAGTTAAGAGAGCTTATTTATAGAGAGCCAGCATAGGCTCAGTGGGTCAATTTGCTTCTTATGGTGCCATTATGAAGGTATAAAAATAACATGTAATGTCTATAAAACAGCAAACATTTTATTAACCGGCACTTATGGGACTAAGAGTGTGCCAGTTGTTCAAATGTTCCACATAAGCAATGTAAAAACACACTCTATGTAATAGAAACATAATGCAGGGGGTATACACATCAATGTTATACTTTAATGTGTGGAGTTCTGGTTTCTGCACTATAGGAAGGATATGATTGCACTGGAAGTTTGCAGTGGAGATTCACTAAATGTTGCTTGGGATGAAACATTTCAGCTATGAAGAGAGGGTGAATAGACCGGGTTGTTTTCTTTGGAGCACAGAATGTTGTTGGGGAACCTGACAGTGGTGTATAAAATTGAGGGGCGTGGACAGGGTGAATAGAAGGCAGCTTTTCCCCTTAGTGGAAGGGTCAGTAATGAGGTGACATAATTTTAAGGTGAAAGGCAGGAGGTTTAGAGGAGATTTGAGAAAAAAAAATGTTTTTATCGAGGGTGGTTGAGGTGGGTAACTTCATAAGCTTTAAAATGTACTAGAATGAGCACTTGAAATGTCATAATGACAGACCTGATGGCTGAAGATCCTCTTCTGTATATATGATCCAATGAAAATCTGAATGAATGTTTTGATGAAGTAGAACTGAAGATAACAAACAGCATGTGATCCGTGTGAAAATTTAGATGGCATAAAATTTGGAGCAGGAGTAATCCAATTAGCTGTTAGAGCCTGCTCTACAATTTGATGTAGTCATGGTTGATCCTCAAACTCAATGCCATATTCCTACTACACCCTTTGATGTCTTTAATATCTAAAGATATATCAATCTCTTTCTTGAATATAATCAGTGACCCATCCACCACAGCCTTCTGTGGTAGCAAATTTCACAGGTTGACCACCCTCTGAGTGAAGAAGTATTTATTCATCTCCGTCCTAAATGGCTTAATATGTGTCCTGAGTCTGTGACTCTTGGTTCTCAAATCCCCAACCAGGTAATCCCCACCCTTCCTGTATCTAGTCTTATCTGGCCCTTGTGGAATTTTATACATTTCAATCTGATGCCCCTCTCATTCTTCTAAACTCTAGTGAATACAGGTCCAGTCGAACCAATGTCTCCTCACATAACAGTCTTGCCAACCCCATATCAGCCTAGTAAACCTTCATTGCACTCTCTTTAAGACCAGTATATCGTCTCTTAGATAGACCAAAAATGCACACACTACTCCAGGTATGGTCTAACCAAGGCCCTGTATAACTGCGGTAAGACATCCCTACATCTGAACTTAATTCCTCTTGCAATGAAGGCCAACATACCATTTGCCTTGTTAATTGCTTGCTGCATCTGCCTGTTTAAGTTCATTGACTGGTGTACAAGGACACCCAGATCCCTTTTTCCATCCACATTTCCCAATGTATCGCTCATTCAGATAATATTTTGCCTTTGTTTTTCACACCAAAGTGTATAACTTCATATTTATCCATGTTACCCTGCAAATACCATATGTTTACCCAATTACTCAACGTCAGTAGATCACCTTGAAGGCATCTTCACAACGCACAATCCCACCTAGTTTTGTGTCATTAGCTAACTTGGAAATATGAGGTTCCCTCATCCAGGTCATTTACATGTATTGTGAATAGCTGGGGCCCATGCACTGATCTCTGAGGTACACCACTTGTCACCACCTGCCACTTGGGAAAAGACCCATTTGTTCCCACTCTCTGTTTCCTGTCTATGAATTCTCAAGCCATGCCAGTTTAATACCCCCAATCCTATGCCTTAATTTTTCTCACTAGCCTCTTATATGGGACCTTGTCGGGACCTTTCTTGACATTCAAATACACAATCTCCAGTGGTTCTCCCTATTCTATTCTTCTAGTTAACGTCCTCAATAAACCCCAGTAGATTAGTTAAGCATGATTCCCTTTCATATACCCACACTGGGTTTTGTCTAAACCTGCATTTAACAAAGAACCACATAAACAGCTAGTTATCACAATTGCAGCTCATGGAATAGGAAGGATACTGTCAAATTAAATTGAATAATCTGGCCTAATCATAGTAAACAGCGTGTCATGGTAAATGGTTATTATTCCGGCTGGCGGATGGTGGACAATGGCGTTCCCCAAGGGTCAGTGCTGGAACGCTCCTTTTTCTGATAAATATATATATATATATATATATATATATTCAAAATTTGCAGATGTAATAAACTTGTACTGGTAAACAGTGAAGTTGATGCTAATCAACTGCAGCAGGACGTAGATAGGTTCATAGATTGAGAAAAAGAAATGGCTGATCGAATTTTATACAGAGAAGTGATGAGGTAATCTTTTTTAGCGAATGGGTTAGGGAGAGGCACAATATACTTAATGGCACGGGAATTGGGGACACAGAATAAGGTTTTGGATAAGAGGTGTGTGGGAATGTGAAGACCTTGCTTTTATGCAGCAAGTGATAATGCCCTGAAACTTGCTCTCCACCAGCATGCTGCAAATGGAGATGATCAAAAAGACATTTGATGGGTGTCTGTAGGAAATAAAGTTGCAAGGTTATTGGAGTAGAGTGGGGGAATGGTGCTGAGGGGATTGCCAGCTTTCACTGGGGTGTAAATTCAATGGACAAATAAGCTGCCTTCTGTACCATAAACAGAATTTAATGTTCATGGTTGTGAGCCCATCTATTAGCTGGAGAGCTGAGAACAATCCTGTTCTAGACATTTTCACAGCCTCATTTGAGATTACATCCCAATCAGCTAGTCTCCTGGCTGCCATAAGATTTCTGGTTCGGGCAGAGGAAATTTCACGTGCAATTTCAGCAGCGTCACCAGGAGCAATAGCCAATGCTGGACTGAGTATATTCAGTGTTGCCATGGAATGTAGGTCAGTGGCACGATTGCCAGGGCCATTGAGAGTGGCATTTGCAACTGGATCACTGTTGGGTTACTGCGTCGTTTCCCATGGGTGCCTGACTTGCTGCCAGGTGCGTCCATTGGAGACAGTATTTTTTCCAACAGGCTGCAGCAAACCCTTGGTGATTTCCCACATGGCAATATTCATGTTTCAATATCAGTAGCAGCAGGGCGAGGCATTTACAAGCTCCCCCGGCAGGAAAGCCCATATATTGCCAATTATTGACCACTTTCCACCTGAACTCCTCTTGCCACTCTAACATTTCCCAGACTGCCTCTGTAGGTCTCAAAAATTTAATGACTTGCAGAATATTAGTAGTTGAAATGGAAAACATTGAAGAAAGAGGGGTTCATGTACAAACCAGAAGGTTTTAGAGTTTTTGTTTGTTTAATTAGTTTTAGTGCTGCATTTCATAAAAATTACATATTAAATATTATAGTTATACAGTTGCCTCTGACAGGTCACAAGCATAATTACTGGAATCTTAATTGATTGCTGTACTTAATCTCATAAAATCTCAAACATGGAAGACCCACTGCTCCAGAGTTTCCTTTTTGTAATAATGTTGAATTTTAATGAGTGTATCATAGTTCTCTCTTAAAACTAGAACTTTTACAGGGATTAATTATCTACTTTTTGATTACCTTTATTCACAAATATCTTCTGTAGATTCACCTGCTTTGAGAGAGCTGAACGACAATTTCACCAGACTCATACAGGAACACAATGTCAACATATTGAGCTTTGGAGAAATGTTACCAACATACATCGGCAGCATGATAAAACTGCATGTGGTGCCTCCAACTTCAGCAGGTATAGTATAGTGAGACAAGTGCTCAAGACCCACTTCCTCCTCCTTGAACATATTCTGAAATTTGAATCATCATTAGCCACAGGTGAGGTCATTTGCATCATCGTTAGCCACGGATGAGGTCCACATGTTGTGCCGTTATTCAAGAAGGACTGCAAAGAAAAGCCTGGGAATTATAGATCAGTAAGCTTAACATCTGTGGTAGCTAAGTTACTTAAGAGGGTTAAGGTATATATGCACTTAGAAAGAGAGGGTTTGATTAGGAATAGTCAGCATGGCTTCGTGCTTGGAAGATCATGCCTCACAAATTTGTTAGAGTTCTTTGATGAAGTGACCAGGAAGGTTGATGAGGACAGGATGGTAAACGTAGTCTGCATGGATTTCAGTAAGGCCTTTGATAAGATTCCACATGATAGGTTGCTCTGGAAGGTTAGATCACGCAGAATCCAGGGAGAACTGGCAAGTTGGATACACAGTTGGCTTAATGGTAGGAAGCAGGGAGTAATAGTGGAAGGATGCTTGTCGGACTGGAAGCCTGTGACTCGTCGTGTGACTCAGGGATTGGTGCTAGGCCCATTATTGTTCATTATATCAGTTTGCAGATGACACTAAAATAGGTGGTATCGTGGACAGTGAGGAAGGTTGTCAGAAATTGCAGCAGGATCTTGATCAGCTGGAGAAATGGGCCGAGAAATGGCAAATGGAGTGTAATATAGATAAGTGTGTGAGGTGTTGCATTTTGGAAAGTTAAATCAAGGTAGGAGTTTCATGGTGAATGGCAGGGCCTTAAGGAATATAGTGGAACAGAGGGACCTTGGAGTTCAGGTGCATGGTTTTCTGCAAGTGGAGTCACAGGTAGACAGGGCAGTGAAGAAGACTTTTGGCACACTGGTCTTCATCCGGCAGGGCATTGAGTACAGAAGTTGGGAAAGTTATGTTGCAGTTGTACAGGACATTGGTGTGAGGCTGCACTTGGAGTATTGTGTTCAGTTTTGGCCACCTTGGAAGGTTGTTATTAAACTGGAAAGAGTGCAGAAGAAATTTACAAAGATGTTGCCAGGACTTAAGGAGACTTATCTGGAGAGGTTGGACAAGCTCGGACTTTGTTCTTTAGAGCGTAGGAGACTGAGGGAGAATCTTATTGATTGAAGTGTATAAGATCGTGAGAGGCATGGAGAGGATGAATGCCCTCAGTCTTTTTTCCAGGGTTGGGGAATCGAGGGCTAGAGGGTATCAGTTTAAGGTAAAAGGGGAAAGAATACATGGGAACCTGAGGGCCAACTTTTTTTTTTACACAGAGGATGGTGCACATATGGAATGAGCTGCCAGCAGAAATGGTTGAGGTGGGTACATTAACAAGGTTTAAAAGGCATTTAGACGAATACATTGATAAAGAAAAGTTTAGAAGGATATGGGCCAAGTGCAGGGAATTGGGGTTAGCGTGGATGGACATTTTGGTCGGCATGGACCCTTTTGGGCTGAAGGGCCTGTCTCCATGCTGTAGGACTCTATGACTGTATGACTAAACTGTTGATCACCCAATTGTGCTTTCTAGCCTTCATTCTGGTTGATTTTATGAATGGTTTTATCACCTGAGGAGCTGTCCTGCTCTGTTCAAATATTCTGTCATCAAGGGTCCCTGCTGATCCCTCTTTTTTTGACAAACTACATCAACATGCTATTTCTCTCCAGAAGTCTTGAATGTGCCATTGCCTCCAAAATCTGTGTTGATCTTTCTCAAACTCCATGTTTGAATCCCTTCAAACACATTTCCATCATAAATGCTGAAATGGTTCTTAATGAGCTAAATGGCTTCTTTCTGTGGCGTTATGACTTTATGGAAAAATTTTACGGACCTCCACTGACAGGTCTGTGAGTGGAGTCCCTTAAAACTTCCTGAGTAGACTTCCTGCTGCTCTCCTGCCAAATCCCAACCTGCCCTAGGTTTTATCTGGGGCAGGTGAGGCCCAGGGAAGCCTGTCCTTGCATCAGTCAAAGCCCATATGTAGCCAATTATTGACCACCGTGGTTACTTTCCATCTGAACTCAATTTTGATGCTGGCAGTAGGGGCTCAGGCCAAAGGAGAAGCTAAGAGGTTCTCCTCTTCAGACCTGTGATCTTGGATGGGAAGTTATGAGGGCTACCTGTGTCAATGGACTGCCCACCACATCTTAGGCTAATGTACACCCCTGTCATGGGTGCTCCTCCCTCATCTTCCCATCTCCACTTACTGCCCCCACCCACCCCTCGCCATGAGACCCCCAATACTTATCGATCCTGAATTTGGGGGTTTTGAATCTGGGGAGCACTTGTAGTTCAAGACCTGCACAAATGCTACTGCAGTAAAGTGCAGAAGTCCTATCTTGAAACAATTGACACTTATTGGCAAAATAAATGGCTGTTGGCTGCTGTGATTGGCAAGAATGCGTTCTCCATCGACCCTTTGGGTGGCAGAGCAAGAGACAATATTGTCCAAAAAATTCATCCCTATAACTTTATGGTACTTAACTTTTCTAAGCTGAGAGACAAAACCAAACTTCATAGAATCTCCAACTATATATCCGCACTTTTGCCAAGGCTACCTATTTCCACTTACATAACAATATGACAGAATTTTGCTGGCAGTACAAACCGGGAACAGGCTGGGGTGACCAGGAAGATCTGCTGCCTAACCACACCCTACTGTTGGGTCATTTTACCAATGGTAATATCCTGTAGGAATAAGATCGGGCAGTGGTAATCAATTTCCATATGCAAAGGCCCTCATGAGAGTCATCTTTTCAGGCAGTTGGTATTTTGTAGATCAATGCCCCAGTTACTTTCGTAGGTGCCAATTAAATGGAAGTAGCCTTCCACTTGCAGGCTGAGCTGGCCTTTCTTTTAGCAAACAGGGGTCACGCATCCAGCAATTGCCTCGGAGATGTTTCCTCTCCATCATTTTATGTTTCTTTAATTTTCCTGCTGAGGGCTGCACCGTACCTTCCTCAACCACGGTCACTGCTGAGCTATTCACCCTCTTATGGCTGGAAGCTACTGGGGATGAATGGCCATCCTAAACAGGATAGCAACTGGCGTGGCAATTATTTAATTAGCTTCCACTTGATAATTAAGGGAGTAGTCCTGCCAGCCACCAGTACATCTTGCTGGCACGTGTTTCTGGCCAATAACGGAACTTTGATGGCGTTAGTTCATACGATAAAAGAGCAGAATTAGGCCATTTGGCCCATTGAGTCTGCTTTGCCATTCAATCATGGCTGATATGTTGTTCAACCCAATTCTCCTGCGTTCTCCCTATAATCCTTGATCCCTAACTAGTCATGAACCTGTCTATTTCTGTTTTCACTCTAAGCCCATGCCTTCAGGTATTAGTCAGCCACTAGTGGAAACATCTTCTTCATGTCCACTCTTTGCAGGCCTATTGGTATTCTGTAAGTGTCAATCAGGACCCCTCCTCTCATCCTTCTAAACTCCATTGAGTGCAGACCCAGAGTCCTCAACTGTTTCTCATATGACAAGCCCTTCATCTCTGCGATCATTCTTAGAAACCTCCTCTGAAACCCTCCAATGCCAGCACATCCTTCCTTAGATACAGGGCTCAAAACTGCTCACAGTGTTCCAAATGCAGTCTGACCAGAGTCTGATACAGTCCCTTTGTACTTCAGATTTCTGAAGCCTTTCCCCATTTAGAAAATAGTCTATGTCTTTATTCTTCCTACCAAAGTGCATTTCCTCATATTTTCCCATATTGTATTCCATCTGCCACTTTTTTGCCCACTCTGCTAAGCCTGTTCAACTCGTTCTGCAGCCTTCCCACTTCCTCAACACTACCTGCCCCACCACCTATCTTTGTGTCATCTGCAAACTAAACCCAGTGCCCTCAGTTCTTTCGTCCAGATCGTCAATGTATAATGTGAATAGTTGCAGTTCCAGCAAGGACTGCTGTGGAAGTCCACTAGTCACTGGCTGTCATCATGAAAAAGACCTCTTTATCCCTACTTTCTGACTTCTGCCAGTCAGCCAATCCTCTATATATGCCAGGACCATACCCCGAGCACCATGGGCTCTTATCTTATTTAGAACGTAGAACAGTACAGCACAGTACAGGCCCTTCGGCCCATGATGTTGTGCCGTCCTATTATCCTACTCTAAGATCAAACTACCCTGTATACCATACATTTTACTAAAATCCATGTGCCTATCCAAGAGTTGCTTAAATGCCCCTAATGTATCTGACTCCACTACCACCGCCAGCAGCGCATTCCACGCACCCACAGTTTTCTGTGCAAAGAGCCTACTTCTGACATCTCCCCATACCTTCCTCCAATCACCTTAAAATTATACCCCCTCGTAATAGTCATTTCCACCCTGGGAAAAAGTCTCTGGGTATCCACTCTATCTATGCCTCTCAACATCTTGTACATCTCTATCAAGTCACCTCTCATCCTTCTTCGCTCTAATGAAGAAAGCCCTAGCTCCCTCAACCTTTCCTCAGGAGACCTGCCCTCCAGTCAGGCAGCATCCTGATAAATCTCCTCTGCACCCTTTCTAAAGCTTCCACATCCTTCCTGTAATGAGGTGACCAGAACTGAACACAATGTTCCAAGTGTGGTCTAACCACAGGGTTTTATAGAGCTGTAGCATAACCTTGCGGCTCTTAAACTCAATTCCCCTGCCAATGAAAGCCAACACACCGTACGCCTTCTTAACAACCCTATCACCTTGGGTAGCAACTTTGAGGGATCTATAGACATGGACCCCAAGATCCCTCTGCTCCTCCACACTGCCAAGAATCCTGCCATTAACCCTGTAATCTGCATTCAAATTCGACCTTCCAAAATGAATCACTTCACAATATTCTGGGTTGAATTCCATCTGCCACTTCTTTGCCCAGCTCTGCATCCTGTCAATGTCCCATTGCAACCTACAACAGCTCTCCACACTATCCACAATTCCTTCGTGTCATCAGTAAACTTACTACCCCACCCTTCCACTTCCTCATGC